TGAAAATTGCCAAAAACTGGTACTTTGAGTTTGCAAATCGGCTAAAAAATAGGGACGCTGTGCGGCCAAACCGAACGCCTTACGTTAACATCTTCTGGTGCTCTCTAACATATTGAGCACTCGCACCTTCATTGGAAAGAGTTGGAAATTGCCGCAAAACTGGCACTTTGGGTTTGCAAACGGGCTAAAAAATAGAGTCGCTGTGCGACAGAAACGATCGCTTTCCATTAACATCTTCTGGCAATGGCGAAGGAAACACATCAATGGAACATTGAAATCTCCCATCGGAAGAGCTGGAAATTGCCTAAGAAACCAGCACATGAAAATCGAAAATCGGTCAAAAAATAGAGACGCGGCGCAACAAAACCCATCGCCTTACTGTGGCAAAACACGGCAAGCGACCACACAACTTCATAGTTAAGAGGTGGAAATTGGCTAAGAAACTACACATTAAATTTGAAAATCCGAGCCAAAAACGTGGTACGTTAACATCTTCTGGCAATCTCGAGCAAAACACGTCAGTTGAACGTTCAGACCCTCATTCGACAGAGCTGCAAATTGGCTAAAAAACTGCACCTTTGGCACACTCAAAAACACGCAAGAAGCCTCACAATGACGTTGAAAACCCATGCTGCGCGACAAATAAACATCGTAAAAATTCCTGTACTTACATCTTGAGCAAACCATCCTCCAAATAGGTGGAAAACCGTTAAACGCACTCAAAAACGGTCTGCTTCACGTTGCTTTTGCACTTGATATGAACACTGAACTGAAAGACTCGAACCAGCCACCTCAAAGCATAGTCGGGCACTGAAACCCGATTTACTAAACATCCGCAAGTTAAGCAATGTTCAAAACCCTGGCCCTTCATAACAGAAGTCGCATAGACCCGAAGGTAGATCGCCTACGAAAATTGATGGGACTTTCTATTTCACGTGCCTGTTGAACAAAGAACCCGACCAGCAAAGGGCGAAAAAACGAAGCCGTTACCACCTGCCAGCATCCTTCGCAGCTCCTGTACAGTTACCAAAAGGAAACGGTTTTAGACCTCGAAGAACTCTGTTTACCTGAGTAAAGGGTTCGCATTCAATTGGTCTTAACGTGTTCGTAGAACCGTTAGAAGGCCAAGGCCTGTCCACATTGGGTTAGCGCTGCGCTGCCGAAGATGCCTTAATCGTCGGAAAAATACGCAAAATTGCCAACGACTAGATGAAGAGGCCGAAGAATGGCAAAACGGCCCCCCCGAAGGACAGCGGCGCAACCTGCTTCGGGTTCATTGACGCGCCATCAAAAGTGTTACATTATCTCATAGTGCGACAACTTACCCTTTTCCTGGAGTCCCTGACTGGGGGGACTCGGCCACCCGCCGGGCAATTATCCAAAGTACTGTCTTCGGCCACTGTAGGGCACCACAATGCACTGAAAAGTCACCAAAACACGCAACAAATTTCGAAAATATCCAGACGTTTGCAACGCGATGCGCTCACTACCATCATCGACTGTAAACTTGACCGTGGTACAGAGCCCGACCATCGTGCTACAGCTCGGCCTAACGGTACCAAGAGGTGAACCACCTTCAAAAAGCCCCGCTCGGCTTTGGATTCTTCGGGACGTCGCTTTATGTAAGTTCGCTTCGTTAGGTAAGTTTGGTAATCGGCTGGTACCTTGGCATCTCCTCAACGGGCCTCTTGCCACTTTTCTCCGCACCCTGTAACGAAATTACGCTCATTTCACTCAATATATACTGGGCGGCTCATTCTAAAGGAACCAGTCAAATTTCTCAGAAATGACAGCAAATATCGGCAAAAAATTGCTAGGGGGAAACCCCAAGGAGTGCCAACTTTTTTATGGATGGCCCTGTTAAGGTCAGGTGGGGACAACATACATTTATTAATGAAATCCCATTCAGCATTTAATTCAAAATAAAAAATTCATTCAACAAGTGTTCAAAACATTTGCCCGTTAAATATTTCCTATTCAACAAATTTCGCTTTCTGGGCCAAAACTACTCGAATTTCCTCACTCACGTTGTTACGACTGAATCGACTTTTCAATTCTCTATCCAACGATGCCAAA